TGCCTGTGGAGATCAGAAGAGGATGTCAGATCCCCTGGATGAAGGTATATCCCCTGGTTTCAAGTTGATGGATGTGGGTACTAGAAACTGAACTCATGTCATCTGGAAGAGCAGTCAGTACCCTAACATCTGAAACTTTTCTCCAACCCATTCTATAGTTCATTGAGGATGTATTTGGAGCATACAGTCTGTATTTCAGCTTCTTTGTCTACCCTGTGTATTCTTAAGTTTGCTCTCTTCTGTCCTGAAATCCTTGAAACTGTAGTTTTATATTTATTTTTTCTTTATTGCTTTCTGAATGTAATAGTTCCTACTTTGTCTTCAATATCTAATTGTCTTCTGTTTTATCTTGTCTATCACTAATGCTTTCTGCTGTATTTGAATTTGGTTTATTTAATTTTTCATTTCAAATATTTATACTTTTGTTATTTCAATTATTTCATCCATGTTTCTGATTTTTCTGAAGCAACTTTTGTATTCAGGACTTTCTGTAATTGACTCATTGAATTGGCTTTTGTACTTCTTGTATCTATATGAACTGTCCTTGCAGTCACTGGTCATTTTTCAAACTGAATTTTTACTTCTTTGTGTGGGCACCAACTATTTCAGTATCTTAGGATTTAACCTTTAGGCAGTGTGATTTTTCAGAGGAGTCTTTTTCTTGTATTTTCCACATTTCTGGTGTTTTTAAGTTGTGATTTGTGCATTTGTTGAGGTGTATGTCTTTTCTTGCTTTATTTTGGGAGTATTTTACTGATCAGCCTTATTTTGAGGTTTCAACCACAATGCTGAAGGAGAAAAAAATGCCTAACTAGATTGCCAACAGCACCATCAAACTAAATTATAAGGCAAGGTATAATTTAAATCTAGTCAAGCCCTCTATATGGCAACAACACTAGAAAATAAAGTGGCAATGGCAATGCAGAAAAAGCTATGAAGTAAAATAATGAATGTGGGCATAGAAAAGGAAAGAATAATGTTAAATAAAAGCAAAAAAGAAGAATGTGAACTTGGGTCATCCAGAAGAGCACCCAGGGCCCTTAATGGCTGAGCCATCTCTTGAGTCACTTCTGCTACAATTCACTGACAAGGGAGAGGGAGAGGGGACTTACATGTGAAACAAGCCTGTTCCATAACTTGAATTAATAATAAAAAAGGGAAAAATGTAATGACTACAATCATTGGTGAAGGAAAATTTCAAAATAGAGTATTATTCAGCCTGTAGCATAGTTGCTGCTCACTGCACTTACTGACATCTTCAGTAAGCTAAAGAAACAAGGAGATTGGGCTATATAGATGGCTCAGAGGTTAAGAGTACTTGTTGCTCTTGCAGAGGGCTGTTCCCAACATCAGAGTTGGGTGGCTTACAATTGTATAGAACTTAAGCTCCAGGTGATCCAGTGCCTTCTTCTGGTCTCCATGGGCTCCAGCATTCAAATGCATACATACACACACATATACACAAATAAATATACAAATAAATATTTTCAAAAAGGAAAATATATACCATAAAGGCATGAAAAATGTAAAGATTTTGAGGAAATGAGAGTAGGTTTAAAGCTGTGGAGAATGAAGGTGAAGACAAAGTATCTGTAAGTTAAAGACATTGAGGACATTATAGAGAAATCTCCCTTGATGGGGAGTGCTCTTTTTGAGCAAAACTTCCCTGGTGTAAGGTTCCATGTTGTGACAATGTAAAAACATTGTAAGGAGAAAACTTAAACTGAAAAATGCAGCTGAAGTGTTTCTCGGCTCAAAAAATAACTGTCTAGGATCATGTTTTACAAGTTCAGAAAAAAGGCCTCCAGAGGTTAATACTGCCATGATATAAGGGAGCTAGACTATATCTGGATACCCCAGCGGAACTGGGAAGCATCATATTCATGGTGATGCTTTCACAGACATATGAAATGAAAGACTTTGGGGTCATCAAGTCTTGTACCAATGTCCCTAAGAGGTGATGAGACCAGTCAATCTACTTGCAAGGTGGCCCTAAAAGTCCATTGCATGAAACAGGGAAGGTGAAGTGTAAGTTGCAATGGAAACTCTAGGATGCTGGAGTTACTGGTACTATAAAGACATCTGTTGAGGAAAGCTGAGGGTACCAATGGAGTCATCATTAAAGAGAAGATGTATGTGTTACAGGTAGCAGGCCTGGAGGGGTAGGGATTCCCAAGCTCATTGAAGCCCAGATGATGCCATCGTAAGTCCAAACAAAGAGACATCAATGTGCAGGATTTGCTGTTTCCCTGCTAGGTTTTATGTTTGCTTTAATCTGATATTTCCTTGTTATTATCTGATTTCTCCCTTTTGGAGTGGGAATGTTTATTCTGGAGCCTTGTATATTGGAAGGATGTAACTTGTTTTTTAATTTTATAGATATTCATGGTTAGGCGATTTTCTTTTTTCTTTTTCTTGGTTTTTCCACAAATGGATTCTATGTGTAGCCTTGGTTGTCCAGGAACTCACTTTGTAGACCAGGCTGCTCTGAAACTCAAGGATCAACCTGCCTCTGCCTCCCAAGTGCTGGGAATAAAGGTGTGTGCTACCACTGCCCAGCTCAAGAGATTTTCTTGAGTCTTAGAAAAGAATTTAAACTGATAAGAACAGATATGGGAGGGAGATGGAACTGAGATTGATATGTAAAATAAGATTGTTTCTAAATTAAATTAAAAAAAAAGAAAAAGAATTTATACTTTAGAATAGTGTTGGGATGGACTAAATGCATTCAAAACTGTAATGAGCCAGAATGCTATGGTTTAAAGTTATGTATTTGGCTGTAAAGTTGACAAGAGGTAGAGCTATGAAGACTAATCTTGACTGTCAACTTGACTGGAGTTGGAATTTCCTTGAGAATACAGCTCTGCCTGTGACTGTGAGGCTGTTTCCAGAAAGATATAACTGATGAAGAAAGACCACCCTGAATGAACAAAAGGAGCAATGAATGAACAGCAGCATGCATCTTTCTCTGCTTCCTGACTGTGACTGCAATGTGACCAGTTACCTCATGCTTCTACCATCACACCTTCCCAACCATGATGGACTGTACCATCAAACTGTGAGCCAATAGAAGGTCTTCCTTTCTTAAGCTTCTTTCCTCAAATATTTTGACACATAAATGAGAAAAATAACTAAGAAAATCCTCCCTCCTCTTCCTGCCTTTCAATGGTTTTCTTCCTTCCAATAGCCTCCTCATTTGTGTGTGTGGTGCACACACACACACACACACACACACACACACACACACACCGTATGTGCATATATATGTATATATTTAAGCCTAGGTTCTGCATATAATAGAAAATATGTGATAATCTGTCTTTCTTTTATTTCAGTACACTCTCCCCCTTTCCTCAATTTACACTCCTTTTCTACTATGTGTCATAAATAATAGTTATGCATTTTTATCTATATTAGAAAAAGTCAGCATTTCTTCTTTCTGAATTTGAATAATTTTCCTTAAAATGATAATCTCTGGCTCACTCAATTTTCCTTCAAATAAGACTATTTTCTGAGCTGGGTGTGGTGGTGCACACCTTTAATCCCAGCACTGGGGAGACAGAAGCAGGTGGATCTCTGTGAGTTCAAGGCCAGTCTGCTCTACAGAGTGAGTTCCAGCACAACCAGAGATGCTATACTAATAAACTCTTGTCTCAAAAAACAAACAAATAAACAACAACAACAAAACCAAACAAACAAATCTCTATTCTGTATCCACCAGTTTTCTTGTCCACTAATTAGTCTATGGGAATTCAGACTGGTTCTGTATCTTGGGCTCTTCTGAATAGTGTATCAATAAAAATGGATATGAAAGTGTCTCTGTTGCATTCTTAGATCTTTCAGATATATATATATATATATATATGAAAGATATATATATCCGGGACTGGTACACTTGGACCATATTGTACTTCTATTTTTAGTTTTTAGAGGAACCAGCACACTGACTCTCATAAGTGATGACACTAGTTCAGTCTCACCAGGAGTCAGTGTATTAGTTTCCCATTGTTGTTATAACAAATTGCTACATGTATAGTAATTATTATTTTATAATTGAAGAGATCAGGAATCTAAAATTAAGGTTTTGGTAAGGCTGCTTTCTTTCTTCAGGCTTAAGATGCTTCCTTAGACTTTCAGCTTTTAGATTCTACTCTCATTCCTGTGGTCATGGCCCCTTTCTTACTCTCTCATCTATTGTTTCTGTAGCACATCTTACTACTTATTCTGATCCTGTTACTTCCCTCTAGCAACAACTCTTGGCCAACCTTAATAGTACAAGGTAATGTTCCCCATCTCAAACTCAAGTTAAATATATACATAATGTCCATTTTACTATTTAACAGATATACAGGCTTCAGAGATTATCATGTGGATATCTTTAGCACAAAAGTATTTATCCTACTATAATCACTGAGTTTAGAAAAGTCTTTGTGGGGGTGGTAGTGGTGGTGGTGGTGCATCTTTAAGGGTATGAAGGTAAGAAGGGCATCATTTCTGGTTTGGGAAATGGCATGAATACAGGTAGTAGATATAAAAATCAGCATAATTTATAAGAAGACCATTAAAGAGTCTAAGATAAAGGATGCATTCAAGTGGGAGGAGAGAAGTCCAGATCACACATTTGCCGTGAAGGCAGGCAGAAAGAGCCCAGTGTTGTGTACTAGTGATTGAGAATTACAGAAAGTTCCTAAGTAAACCTTCAAGTGGCAATATATAAGCAGCAGTTTCTGAGGATGATTAATCTAGAAATGACAGGACATTGGCACTAAATGTCTTTTCTCTGTTGCAGTGTCACTAATCTCTAATGTTTTGTCCAAGATAATTAATGAAAAGTTGGCAGCAATTTCAAAGGAGAATGAAAAGGCAAGGGAAGGATAAATCTACACTCTGTCCACCTCTCTATTGGAATGGAAGACACAAACAACAGAACTTCATGTAGTGCTTTGCAATGGAAGACAATTTCCATTTTAAAAGGAGAGGAAAAAATACACCAGGCTTACCTCATTGCCACATTACTTCCATCAATAACAACTGGTCTTAAATTATCACTATTGTCTATTTCATCTTCAAGAGACAATTCAGGGCTCGCAATCTCTCTGGAGCTAGCCCCTCGTGGCAATAACAGACTCAAGTTGACTTGCCCTTCTGAGTCACCTTTGTTTCCAAGTCTGACAAGCTCTGCCAACACATCATTAATAAGTGATTCTGGGCCTAGTTTATTAAGCACTGATTGAATTTGTTCTTCTGCATAGCCCAGCTTTAGAGCAAAGTCCATCTTGACTTGGTATTCCTTCTCTAAGTCTAGCTTCCCATCCTGTAAAATGCTGCTCTGGGAGAAGCTTGGCCGGTCCAGGCAGGGTGACCGACAGAGCTGGCGATGTGGCTTGGAGGGCATCTCTTTCTTCTTCAGCTGAGTATCTAGAGGTTGGTAGCTGTTGTGACCACTCCTAAAGCTCATGTGTTCAGGGTCACTCTCAGAGCTCATCCATTCTTCAGGGTCAGCATTGCCTCGGTCTGTGCTGTCCTGCTTTGGCTGCTGCTTCTCTTCCTTGGAAGCACTCTTCTCCATTTTTGGTGTCTCCACTGCAGCTGTGGCCGTCATCCCGTTTACTGGGTTCTCAGATCTAATCAGCTATTTTTCTTTTTAACCTGCTTGGAATCCATGTACAGTGGCATTCCTCTAGAGTAAAATGTTGGGGTAGCAATGGTGCAAGAGTTTGTCTGTTTGGTTTTGTATGTTCAGATGTTAGGCAGTCTCTACAAATAAACACATATGGCATAATCATATATAATAAACTTCTGGGAAAAAACAGGATACACAGTTTTTCCCTCAGAAATTACAGATTATTTGGCATTTGACATTCTTGTTTACAAGGATCTAGAGAGTCATTAATTCTCATAAATATAGATAAAATTTCAGTAGGGGTAATAAATATATAACCCCTGAAAATACAGCTGAAGTTATTGAAAATTTGAGAGACACTGTATTCTATCAGGGTGCGCGTGCATTGTGTGTGTGTGTGTGTGTGTGTGTGTGTGTGTGTGTGTGTGTGTGTGTGTGTTTGTGTGTGTGTGTGTGTGTGCACGCACACACATTCCCGAATATATCTGCCACCTCTTTTACTTATTGTGACTGGTAAACAAAAGGAGCAAACCAGCTGTGCGTAGTGATGCATACCTCAAGTCCCATTATTTCAGGAGGCCAAGACAGGAGGTTCCCTTGAGCCTTGGGAGAGATATCCCTCCCCATAGGCAACAGAGGGAGACCCTGTGAATTAGAAAAAAGAAAAAAAAATCAACTTGTTTGATAAACATTAAAGTATTAATTACAGATGAGGACTAGATACGGTTTTATTTCTAACTTTCCTAGCACACACTTCACCTATCCTGACAGTTTTCAGTTCTAATTTTTTTCTCTCCTTGGAATTTGAGTATTTCTTATGTGTAAAATGAAGATATTTGTTGGTATCTAAGAGAATAATTGTAAGAGCTGCATGCACAGACTGATGAAGATGCTTAGAAAGGTGAATAAAATGTAGTAAATTCAAATGCAAATTCTCAAAGGAAGCAGCAGATTCCAGATTGCACAATGTCTTTTCTGTAGCCCAGGCTGGCTGTGAAGTCATAGGAATCCTCCAGGCTCAGCCTCCTGAGCAGTGGAATTGTAAATGTAAGTTACTACATCTTTCTGGTTCAGATCTGATTGTACCTTTTAATTTTATTTTTGAGAAGATTCTCACCATGTAGCTTGGCTGGCCTTAAACTTGCTATGTACACCAGGATGGCTTTAAACTCATTAAAGTCCAGGAGCCTCTGCCTACCCAGTCCTGAAATTAAAGGCATGTACAACATACTCACCTATTTGTTCATTTTCATATTTTTATTTTTGAGATTAAATTACATGAGTTTTTCTATCCCCCTTTTGTCTTCATCCCTCCCATGTACCCCAGATTGCTCTCTTTCAAATTTAAGGCCTCTTTTTTCTTAAACTATTCTTAAATACTGTTTATTTTTAAGGAAAGAGGAGATGGGGACATAAGGAATGTGAGCATGGGAAACCTTTTCAGACATCAGCTGTGCCAATTAATCTAAAACAAGGTTATGTAACTATGTAACTAATATACCAGAGACTTCCAGCTCATATCAATTCTATTTATAACAAACAAGAAGAAAAGCTACAAATAGTTCTAACAGTGTTATGGCTGTTCCTTTACTTTGGGATTCATATCTGGAAACATTAATACAGAAATGAAATTTCTGGACTGGTACGAAGTGTGTAATGATTTCTCTAGTGACTACACTACTACTTTTGGCTTTACATTTTTTCATTCAGCTGGGTATGGTGGTTCATGCTTTTAATTCCAGCCCTTGGAGTTTGATACAGGAGTAATTCCATGAGTCCAATATATAGCCTTGTCTATACTGTGTGACTATGTCTCAAAAAACTTTCCTTTAGTAAAGTACCCAATACAAAGATACCAATTTTAATTTTGTTTTGTCATTCATCTGGGTTGGTCAAATTTTAAGCGCATTTCCTTTGTAATTTTTGAATTCACTGATTCATATTTTCATTTCTTCAGAATGATATCTAGTGTACAAACGGTACTGATGTCTTTGTCTAGCATTTATTCAAAGCTCCAAAATCACTTTAAAACAACCATTTATAGGATGTCATGGATATTTTAGGCATATATTATTAAGTACTTATAAAGGACTATTTTGTTGCTCTTAGATAGTATAGTATATATTGCTTTCCAATATATAGTATGCCATATATTGGTTTTCCTTCTATCAGGTATTTACCTCTATTTACATTGACATCCTGTGAAAATTTAGACCATGTTCATGAAGACACATAACATGATTAAACTCACAGAAAATGATTCATAGACCAGAAACTCTTACTGAAATCATCGTTATTGCAAATTTTCTTACTTACAGAGAAAAATAGCTCAGTAGAAATAAACTTGGATCAACCTTTAAAACCATTAAGCAATTTTAAGAAAATTATTATTTGTCCTATACCTTGTATTGGTATATGCCATATTTGTTTCAGAATGGAACCTGAAACAAATTTCTATACCTATATTCATTGTTTAATTACTTTTTTAGCTAACACAAAATTTGAAAATTTATGATACTTTCTTTTATATAATTTTACCTTATATATAAATTTCATATATTTATGTATAACTGTAATTGTAACACACACACACACACACAAAGTGTGTGTACTTTGCTCATATTAACCCCTCCTTGTCCTCTATCTACCTCCTTCTGGTTCTCTTCCTCCCCCAATACCCCT